TCGTCTGGTATGGGCGCCAAAACACATAAGGTCTCCATTCCCCGTCCGATATGAGAGACCACGTTCCTAGTAGAGTTCCCTACGGATCCGGTCCGTCCATCATCTCCCAGGATATCTAGTCAGGCTGTCCACATTATCCATTTATGAATTTACATAACCTTTTTTCCATTTTTCTTGGTCTCAATTATCCAATCATACACAAACACGTAAACCAATAATGAACACCAAACAAAACAACACAACATTAGGTTCACTATAATTCAAACCATAATAAAAGAAACCATGATTTATGCATACGAAATCATAAAATAAATACATCAAATACCATACTGCATTTAAAGCTGAAAAATAGATCAAACAACAACTGACCGAAAAATACATCAGATTCGGGCTCCATTAGTAACCTTAATTAATTATACACATGTATTAATTCATGAAATACCGTTTTATTATTTATTGAGCTTTAATACCGTGATAGGAAATAGGGTGAGAAATTCTTACTTGTTTCGGGGTCTGAAATCGGTTCTACAATGCACCTACGAGCTGTCCCTAAATTCTCTGAATTTTCTCCGAAAAACTGAAATGCACTACCGGTACCTGCACGTGTCCCAAAAAATCCCAAATCAGACCCATGGCCCCTTTTTGGCCAATATCGGAATTCCGACACAGCGGCTCTGCCGTGCTCCGGCGGTGGCGATCCACCTCGGGTTGGCCGTTTTTGGCCGAATTCAGTCAAACTTGCATTGGTTCCTACAATAAAACAACCCTAGGGCCCTCGGTGGGCAAAAAAATCACGAAAAACTGAGACTTACGGGCAGCGGAGCTCTCGGGTGCGGCGGCTTCTTAGGCGCGAGTCGCGGTTTGATGTTTTGCTCTAGTCAACATGTAGAGAAAAGGACGGTGATCACAGTGGTGTAAAAATTGCATTGAACGGGAACCGGAAAGGGCCTAATCGGAGGCAAAAATCGAGGGAAGCCGCGGTGGCGCCGCTGGACTTCGGTGGTATTTTTCGGCCGATTGGCTAGTAGTTTGACTCCGATTTGGCCATAGGCAAATTCAGGATCAAAAAACGAGCCAAGGGGAGAAAATTTACCTTGTTTGGCGGTTGAAAACCCTCCGGTGTGGCGGCAGGTGGCGGCGGCCGGCTCCTCCGGTGACTGGATTTCTTCTCCGGCGAGGGTATTT